CTTGATAAAATAATGAATACTTACTTAAACTATTGTAGGTAAATTTAAGTAAACTGTTATAAATTATAAATAATAATGTCCATAAACTAATGTCGACTTTGAAAATAGTTACTGTCACTAGAAAATTGTCATGGGGACACCAGCCATCTTGATTACAATTTTATTTAAAAATCGTTTTTTATTCAAAATCTGAGGTATAGGACACCCTAATCTACTTCGATTTATTTAAAAAAATACAGGGTGTTGCATTTGAAATCACGAAGTTTTTATATAAAATATATCCCTAAAATAGATCAGCAACTTTTTATTTGATTGATACTGTATAAATTTAACGAACCAATACCATTTTTCAGTAAAGTTTATTTCTCTACGTTTAAAGTCAGCATAAGAATTAATTCTGAAAAGTAATGTACAGGGTGTTAATAGTTTATTCTATTGTAGCATGCAAATTTAAATATCTTTAAATATCGCAAAAACTAAAGATTTTAAACATATTTAACACTTATAATAAATGCCTTTTTTTTGGGCCCAAGAATCCAAAAATGAAATAGAATATAACTTTGGTATGGATCTTAGTTCTGAGACACCCTGTACATTTCAAAATAATTTTAAATTGTGCACAGTACTTCCCTACATATAACCATAAAATATTTTGTTTTTACGTCTTTCCGTTTTCGTATAATCAACAGAGGCGAATGAGGTGCGCCACCCTGTATAATTATTATAACAATATTTTTTGTCCATTTGCGTATAATTTTGAGGCTAAAATAGAAATTTATTTTTTAAAATTAACATATACATACATAAATGAAAGACAGACCATCAAGTCAGGGTCAAATACAGAGACAACATAACATAATCGAATGTCGCTGATGTCAAAAATGAAGCGAATTTACTTATCCACTTGGATTATAAGATTTTAGCGTAGAATAATATTTAATTCCAAAACTAAGTATAATTAACATCTTACTTGACTCCATTCACCAGTTACTTTAAAAATTAACTAAACCTTAAGAACCCAAAACAATTTAAGAATGTAACTTAATATGTAATAATTTTTAGAAGACTTAGTAGATTTTTCCAGATTATAGCTCTGTATTCTGGGAGAATTCTAGTCAAATGATAAGTGAAAAAAGTTTTTAAATCGATTCTTTTTAGGGCTCTGCGTACTGTTGGTTGCATATTCAGTGGCGTAACCATAGACTTAAAATAAAATATAGACTACACTATTTACATCTAAACGCGGTCAAACAATCTTTTTTGTACACATGTTTACTTCTGGGTACAGTCGACCGAGCCTTCCTCATCCAGCCTATGTTGTCACGTCTTTAATATTATCAATACTTTTTCTTATTATACACATATATTGAGATATTAATACTACATTTTAATAAAGTAGGTTTTAATATTCCATAGATGTATTAAATTAATTATAAGTCGGATGCTATTTAAAAAGGATAAGTTCTTTACAATATGGCAACACCGATTTTAGGCGAGGTCGCCTATTTATACGCTCCATTAGTGTGACGTCATGTAGCGGAAGGTCCGTGTCGCAAAATCCAAACAAAGCTAGAATATAATGGGATAATCTAATTTTTTATTATATTACTCTGTTCAAAGGATATTTGTGTCTTTCTGAGTAAGTATATAACCGTTTACTATACGTATAATTACATAACAGGATACATATAGGGAAGACCTGCAGAGAGTGAAGGATGATCTGGAGCGTCGTCGATCCAATGGTGAGGCAAACCTAGTGATAAAGTTCGAACGTGGTAAACCTTTTATCGCCTCAAAAAACTAAAGGATGTCGCCTCTAGGCACTTATCCCTCTGCTATCAGAATGTAAGAGGCTTACGTACTAAAACTGGAAAAATACAATTATCCTTAAGAAAACAGTAATATAATAATAAACGAAAAAAAAACGGATTAATAGTGGGTTAATTCACGCTTTGTTTAGATTTTGCGACACTGACCTTCCACAACACGACGTCACCACTGATGGTATTCATTTATTACCTTGTAGTACGCGTCGCACGTGTGCAGTAAAGCTTTGTTGCCGCTATGTCCCCCGCTGTATTAACGCATTTTCTTAGTTTGTAGTCCTTAAGTGTTTATTTTATTTACTTTTTCTGTTCAAGAATTATAAAATATGGTTCGCCAGTGCCAAATTTGCAAGAAATTTGACTTAAATAATCCATTTATCTTGAAACGACTTTCGACCGGTAGGCAACTCTCAATTTACCAATTGGGAGTCAGTGGCGTTGTTGTAGAAAGGCGCTTATTTAGATAATATTTTAGTAAAATGTAAAATCTGAATTTTTTCTATTACATAATCGGGTCCGTTCGACTTTACGGACACATGAATTTTAAAAAAACAAAAATTGTCCTGAAAAGTACACGTTTTAGTAGGTAATTTAAGCCAAAAAAATTTGCGGATTATCCAGTAAATTTTAAAATATTGAAATAAAATGATGGTACTATTTGATGGCTGCGGAGGAATTTTGACAGATGACACAAACATACGATGACACATAACCAACATGACGTTAGCCACGGCTGACATTAACCTGTGCGACGTTGCCGCTGTTTTAGGCCAATTTTTCACGTCCCGGTCGCCGCGCCGGAGGAACGGCTCTTACGGTGGAGCCATCACGGTGAAAACAAATGAATTAATTTAAAATCTGTGTTTAAAATCAAATCATTGAAAGCACTCAGATTCGTATTAAAATATAAAAAAACACAGCTTAACACCCCTCACCATAGAAAACCTAACCAAAGCAACCCAAATGCTAACCAATCTAATATTTTTGCAAAATCACAGTTAATTATTAAAATATCAAAACCACAGCTTAACACCCTCAGCAAAGAAACGCTAACCAAAGCAACCGAAATCCTAACCAATCTAATAATATTTTTGCAAAATCACAGTTAATTATTAAAATATAAAAACCACAGCTTAACACCCTCCACAAAGAAACGCTAACCAAAGCAACCGAAATCCTAACCAATCTAATAATATTTTTGCAAAATCACAGTTAATTATTAAAATATAAAAACCACAGCTTAACACCCTCCACAAAGAAAAGCTAACCAAAAGTTCAAAACCACAGAACCCGTAAAAGAATATCTAACATAACCTCACTTCAGTAGAAAATTATATAAAATAATTATATTGACAACGTCGCAAATAGCATGCGAAGGCCGTCGATCAACTAACTGTCAATCAAAAAGTTAATGGTTGCTAGCTCAGAATACTGTAAACACATGTATTTTCTTAATTTTTACGCTTACAAAGGGGTTTTCTTAAATTTTTGTGCTTAAACTAGGTCAATCCACATCTACATAATGTAGTAAAGTGCTAATATTCAATGTTCCTACCTAATCTGTATGGAAAATTTAACGTTTTTAGTGTCCGTAATATCGACTGGAACCACATAATCATTTATATAAAGGTTTTTGTAACAAAATCATAATTATAACCCTGTTATTATATATAATAGATAAATTATATTAGGCATCGGTTAAAAAATTAATAACGTTTTTATTAAAAATATATTCGGGTTTATTCTAAAATTATCTTCAGAATCTAAAATAACATACAAGAATTTTAAAATGATATTACATTATGAGACAATATTTTTTAATATACCGGGTGCGTCTGAAAAGTGGCTCACCCTTATAATTGTTTTATTTTTTCAGATAAAAAACAGATTTATATGTTAGTAGGTATATGACATAAATTAGGATTGATTGACGTATTCAATGGTTTTTGGTCTCTTCCTGTTTCACCGGAAATGACTACAACTTTTGATTTTTAAATAGCACCCTCGGTATATTTATTTTACACTTTATCCGATAGAAAATGATACTCTGAATAGAATGTCATATCATATCGTCGGTCCAATTATTTTAATTTTAATTTATTTATATCATTTGATTAGATTTCTTCCAGAATATATATATATATATATATATATATATATATATATATATATATATATATATATATATATATATATATATATATATATATATATATATATATAGATATATATATAGTTCGTCTGCTGGATCTGTGTCTATGAAAGGAATGCGGTCAAAAAACATTTAAATAAACAACAATATATTTTATACGTCGACTTGACGAGTACGTCACCGCAAATCGCTCCGCCCACTCATTTTATTGGCTGCTTGCAAATTTCTCGAATTTTTATTGATGGGACGCGTCGTCTAATTTTTTACGAAAAACATGGAGAGAATATCGTTTCCCCTCTCACGGATACCCCGTGGCTACAGGTCGGGCAGACGTACTATATATATCCAGGAAAAATCTACTATACCTTCTAAGAATTATTAGTTTAATTTTTAAATTACTTTCATATTTTTTAAATCCATAATGGCGCTATATTAGTTCATTAAAAATGTATTTATTCGTTTTTGGACTTCAGTATGTTTTGCTTGTAAACCGGCGATATGTCAACTTTTGACATTGTCGCTTAAAAACAAATCGTATTTTAAATTTCAATCTAGGGTGCCATGGCGGTGTTAAAAACACTGTTTAACAAGTTTTAATCAAGGAGCCTTGGAAAAATAGTTTTGATCGTCTAATGGTTTTCGTGTCTTGTCTAGGCCGGTTAAAAGATGTACAAATCGTATTTTTAATCATATGTCAATTGATGCTATATGCTCATATGTCAATTGACGGCTATGAAACGGAGAGTTCAGGTGTACTTGAGAAACGAAAGACAGAGTTGCATTTCTCGTCAGAGTCGTCAGAGAACGACCGTTAGGACGCGCGACGGGGACAACCTATCTATCGCTCGTGTCGCACTCGTTATAACCTAAAACAATAATAACAAGACATTATCTGACCGCATTTTCCAGCTATTTATGAATGAGATGCTCAGTCTATATTTTATTTTAAGTCTGGGCGTAACGCTATTTGGGTCAATTTTTTGATGAGAATAATATGAATATTCGTTTTAATCTTTTTTTAGATTACCTGTATTAGAGAAGGATACAGAAGCGTTTGGCTGAAGAACTCCTACAGTGAAGATCTCGAATTAGCATCGCTTCTAGTGCACGTTCGGACGAGAAGTGGAATGGAGAAGAATGGAGTTGCGTGATGATAAAAGAGGGTAAAGTAACCCATTTGACATATAAAATACCGTGCGATCGAATGAAAATGATGTCAAAGTGATCATTTGAAATAACATTTGAGTCCTAACTTTACTATTTATTTTAATATCAATATATCAATACTTCGATTGTTATCTATATATCGATAGTTATCAATATCTAATACTTTTGGAAATGCTATCAATACATCGATAGGTCACGATATATCGGTAGGTAGCGCTATATCAATAAGTATCGATGTTTCAATATATCGATAATTTTAAAGCTAGCTATTGTTATCCGATATATCGATAACTCTCGACATTAATTTATTGATATATCGGAAAAAATTCTATCCCTAGTCATTACATATTGATCGCACTGTATTAAAGGAAAGCTCAACATAAGACAGAGAATCTTTAAGTACTTTAAGAGATTTTAGAGCTAAATTAATGCATCTTTTATATCTGTAAAAAATACATATCCATGTTAATCACAGCATATCATGAACAAATATTTTGTCTCGAATTTATATCATCCGATATTTTCTTTTCATAATAATCAAAAATTACATTTATTTGTAAAATAATGAATATATAAACCCTTTTTAAGCATACTGTATATTTCAAATGAAAGAAACAAATGTTTTTTTATGGCATTACAAAAAACAAATACAGAGTATTGAATGCAAAAACATATGGCATCTTTCATCGGGTCATCGGGTGATTTCATCACGTAAAAATAAGATTTATTTGGATTTTTTCAGATTTATTTATTACATCAACATCGGTCCGATTCTGCTTTATTTCGTAGCTGCAGGGGGTTGAAGTTTCTTTTTTTTTATTTACTAAAGTTTTCTTCCTAGTGTTTTTAGCGATTCGATTGAAATTTTAGGAAATTTACTATAAGGTACTATTATTAGGAAATTTACTATAAGTGCGACATATTTTAATGACTAAAAAGTCGACAAATTCCCCAGTAACGTGCATATTAGGTTTTTTTTCACTTTATAATCTGAAAAAAGGTAGGTAGATACCTAAGTATTTCGTCTTAGAAAATACCTTACCACAATATTCTTTTCAAATAGTAGATACCGAGATATGATTTTTCTGTGTAATAAGGAAAAAAATAAAAAAAACTGAAAGGCGGAGAATCTTCCTATTAAAATTAAGAGGTCATACTTGGAGAGAATTTTTTTGAGGTGTCTGCCCAAGGACTGTATACTGTATATATTCTAAAGGACTGTTCGATCGCGTCAAATCGCCGCTGTCATAGTCGCCGTAGATGCTTACGTCACGCAGGGACCAGCGCTCCACAGTGCGGCGGAAGGTTATTCTAGCGGGACAAAATCTCAGGAGCGATGTTTGGGACTTAAAATCTAAGAACGTAGCAAATGGTTTAATATATAGCGACTATATGGTTAAATTTATTTATTTATTAACAACTTAATTTATTAAAATATAAATAAATACAAGATAATAAAACTATGATATTATTCTTACACGACACACAAAAACCATACTGTAAACTATTGCCATATACATAAAATTATGATATCAGGTGAAATACTTCTTCAGGTAAAAACTCTTTAGCAGTTGTTTTTTAATCTTGTGACACCCTGTATACTTTATTTTAAAAAATTCTCTTTTATTTTGAAAATAATAAATAGGATATTTTAATTTTAACACTCGGCAATTGTAAATTCATATATAGTAAGTATCTAAGACAATTTTTTAAACTTTTATTAAAACTAGTAATAATCATTTAGTTTTATTATAAATTATCAGAAAGTAAAAAAAGGCTTTAGCATATCGTCATGCTTTATTTAACTAGAACATCATTTGGATGTTTTTGTCTTGAGGAAAATTGCCGAACTGACTATTGGTGTCATTCATTAGCTGCCCATACAAGGAAAGGCCCGGCCTTCGGACTTGGCCTTGAGTCCGGGCCTTTAACCCAAGGTTTGCGTGAAAGGCAAAGTCCGCGGATATATTTCCGCTATGGTAATTTGGGTGAAAGCCCCGGCCTCAAGGCCAAGTCCAAAGGCCGGGCTTTTCCGTGTATGGGCAGCTATTAATTTTTTAAACCAATTTTTTTGGTTTCAACAATTAACAGCAGCATCCTTACTCCCTCTAGTCCTAAAGCTCATAGTACATATAGTACGTATAGCAAAACCCAATTCTTTTTTTGAATACTCTTCAATTAACCCTTTAACGAGTCTTTGTTTCGTTTTTATACTATCCGATTGAAATGAAACTTTTAGGCATTCACCTGTTAAGCTTGAACTCCTTGTGACTGTGACTACCTGTGTTAGTAACTATTGAAAAAAGTGAAAGTTTGATATCTGCAGAACAAAGGCACGAATGATTTTAACAAATAATATACCTAAAATAGAAAAGTACATACCTTTGGCAATCTTCAACATAATTTGGCTTTGGAATAAAATGTATAAGCACTTTTAAATACTTTGTTTTCGTATGACCTCTGCCTTGCTGAGCAGAAAACGATCAAATTTAGTTGATAAAAATGTATCGAAACACAAAGAATATATACGACCAAAAAATAATTCATGAATTTTTAATTCAATTGAAATGTCTACTATTTATTCTTATCAGTACACATTTTTGGCTTATTTCTAACCAAACGGTTTTGTCCCGCTAAATTTATCTTCCGCCGCACTGTGCGCTCGTCCGTCAAACGCAGAACTAACTGTCACTGTCTAAAATCTTTAGCGCGAACTTCAACTCGGTCCCTAAATAACGTAAAAAAAACTGACAGTACAGGAAGATAGGAATCGAACTATCCTTATCTCTATAGTATCCTTGGTGTCTGCCAACTTTTTTTTCAAAGTAGCTCATACGTGGAGAGAATTTTTTTTGAAGTGTCTACCAACTTTTTTTTCAAAGTATAAAGTGATAAAAATAGTCGATTTTTTTGACCCACCAAAGTGTATATAGTTTGTCAATGGAGTATTTTTCTAATAAAAACAGGTGCGCCACTGACTTCTTTTTCTCTTGTTAGCAAAATTGTATATACCCTTTAATGTAAATTAGATTGATTTAATAATTTTATTTGTAATTAAATTTTATTAATTGTGATTAATAACATTGCGTTTAACTCATCATGGAGATTGAAATGGACAAAATATCAACATACAACTTTTAAGCGCCATTAAACGGCCTACACATCTACACAATTTTGCTAAAAAGAAAAAGTTAGTGGCGCACACTTTATTTTGAAAAATATTCCAGTGTCCTGGTTAATCTGTCGACATTTTTTTCGCATTAAAATATGTCGCACTTACATATAACAATCATCATCAACTCATATAAGTAAATATATAAAATATATAGTAAATTTTGCCCTCAGAATTTTATTCAGGTCACTAAAGGACTCAAAGAAAATTATAATAAATCGAAAATGAAAACTAACGACCCATGTTCATATAAAAAATAAATCTTATTTTTGCGAGAGGAATCTCCACCCGAGACATGGCACATGTTTTTTGAAACATCCTGGATATATTTTATATTCTAATAATTACATGTACGTACACATGTTAATTTAATAATATAATGATTTAAAAACAGTTCGGAAAAACAAATTTAACCAAAAATATGTGCATTATTTATTTTAACTTTGATGTTTGTTCTTAAGAGTAACATTTTTTTTAATCTGCGATTATATCTTTAAGGGAAAAATGATAAATATACCTTATATTTTTAGATACATTTAACAAAAACATTTGGTCGAAAATATACAGCGTCAAGATGATGATGTAAAATTTGTCCAACGATCATAAATTATCGAAATTTGTTGAATATAAATCCACATTTTTGCCTCCAAAAAAAATTAAGTTGTGGTTTGAGATTTTATACGAAATTGTAGATAGTATATTAAATTGTAAATAACTAAACGAATTAACTAAAAGAACATATACCAATCTGTTAAATATTAAAAAAAAATATATAATTAATAATTGTTATCAATTTAATAATGAATCTCTTAAACTTTTTATGTACAGCCATGCCTTTAGTCTCGTGTTTTTTGCTTAATTCTGAAGTCTGTGCAACAAGGACTGACTCGTTGGACAGACTTTGGTACTTTATAGAGTTTCTTGCAATACATTTATGTATGATTACTACATAGGTATAATGTAATTTTTTTATTGCATTTAATTATATTACATGGACTTCCAATTCAATTCTATTACTATACTATATATACATGTATTTTAAGACAAAAAAAAATTAACTAGTTTATAAACATATATTATTCTGTTTTAATTGTAAAATTTTATATGTTTGGACATAAAATTATAAAACGTTAAATGAAAAAAAAATGGCCTAAACACAATATATATTTATTAAGAAATAAATTATTTAAAGTCATTTTGGTTTTAAATTAATTAATATTATTAATTAAGGTAAGTATTAAATAAAATACAAATACAGTTATACATTGCTACAAAATTAATCTATTTTTTATTTTGTACTTTTTCGTATTTTACATTAGGATCGAGTTGTTCTCCGAGCATAACATATAAATCCGAAGGCTTTCTAAAATAATTATCAAACAAAATTAATCTGTATCCATTTAAATGCCTGTAAGTAACGTCACCAAATGGAAATATTGTTTCTTTTTTGAATAAAGGTGCTATTTCACCAATTTTTACAATCTGCTTTTTTAACTGATTGGGAAAAAAGCCATTAAAGCAACAAATATAATTCGCTTTTTGAGCATTGTAATAAATTCTAACGGGCATTCTTGATGAATACAAGTATGTTACCGATGCCAAAACGACGAAACAGACCAAAATATATGTCAATTGGTTGTCGATAGGTTTCAGTGGGATGCCAAGCAAGCCCTTCTCTTCGAAAATCGGCAATCTTTCCGTTTTAAAATAATCACCGGAACTGGTCAAACACAACGCCGCTGCAGCGATATTTGTACATAGTAGAACTAGATGTGTCGCTTGCATATAGTTGTCTATACTATTTCTATATATTAGTATGTATGAGTCGGGAACCTTATCCTTAGCTCGTGCTTCTCGCTTCGTTAATTTTTTAAATATCCAAAAGAAATTTCTTTTTGGTGTAACTTGTACTTCATTGTACTTCAAAGTGTTCCGTGTTCTAATATTATCTAATCTTCTCAGTGTGTGGAATCGTGCATCACTTAAATTACTCAGTAGTGTTCTTGGAATATATACTTGTCTACATAAATTAAGTAAAGACATTATTTTTAAAGCTACATAGGCATTTATATTACTTTTTGTCCAACTTTGTTACATTTATTACATTTCTAATTATATCATAATATAACCTCAATGTCAATAATTCTTCCTTTAAATTTTAAATGGCTCCAGGAGTCAGGAGTTTTGTCACGTGTGTATTCATTCTGTGCCAACCCTGAATTTACAACAATAATACCGATAATACTCTTTCATAAACGATTTCGGTAATACAACATTACCATTTCTAGTAATGAGATGGTAAATGGTAATGAGCATCACAGCAGCATGTTTAAAAGCTATTTTAAAATTACCAGACCATACTTAATCTAAATCATATTCTGATCTGATATTTTTTATATATGATTACAATTGTATATCGTCATATCCAAGAGTTACTCTTAACCTGTATATTTGGTTGCATACCTACATATTGGTTTTATCAAAGGTTTTATCAAATACGTGTAAATTTAAACGTATTTGGGTTTTATATACACAGGTTGCTTAATCGCCTGAGCTCCTGAGCTAAAACACATTTTGAAAATTTACACATTCGTATAAAAAATAATAGCAGAACTGTAAATCAGCTGATGCAAACTGTTTTTTTTTGCTTTTAAGTTCTATCTAAGTCAGTACAATCAAAAGAGGCTGCAAGTGTACTTTACAGCGCTTTCAGATGGAGTGGAGCGTCCGCGAGTTCCATGAGTTTAAATGAACAATTTCGCATGGGTCGCATATGCTCCGTCCGGATGAGCTATCTTGAAAAAACATCCGCGCGGACGGTCCGCTCCATCTGAAAGTGCTGTTAAATTTCCAACTAACAAATATGAGTTTCTGTCATCAGTGTTCAGGTCCCGATTGTGTAAACATATTTCCTGTCTAGTGACTCTTCAATCATATACAAATAGCATAGGCTAGAGAGGAAATTTCTTGCTACGGAGCTTACAGAATCCCTCTGCAGGTGTTCAGTAAAACGTCAGAGTATGAATTGGGTCATGAGCCAAGGACCAATAGACAAGAACCAAAAACGGTAAATAGACAGGATTGATTAATCCCTGAAATAATACATAATACTTTCACTGCTCAATTACGTCACTGTAGTTCAGTCTCACTTCCACTCGTTTGCATACGTGATTATTCAATTCCTATTTCACTTCCTCCCATGTCAACAAGTACTGCAATTTTTATGGACAAATTTTGCCAATTAAGCCTGTTTTTTGACGCAGATTTTCATACGTCGTTTATCCCTTGATACGATGGTCCGACAGCGCTCTGATTGGTCATACGTTTTCGCGCCACTTCATCCGTAAATTTTTTATTCCAGCCCGTCCACAGAGAAAGATCGTACGATAACGGACGTTTTGACACTTTTTTGACAAATTTAATCTAACCTTAATAAAAATATAATAGTACAAGAGCTACCACCGTCAGGAAAACGATAATTTTAAGGATGCTGGTTCCTTATTTATTTATTTATTTATATCTTTTGCTATACTCTCCTGACCAAAGCGCGGGCCGTCTGGCTGCCGGTAGACTACTGCGGTTCACGACTGCGCATCAAATCTGTGCAGGGTGCAATCCCATTTTCGTGTGTTTTATGAGATTTCTCGTTTATGAGTAGAGTTACAATGATGCGAATTTCACATTACTTTGTTACTTTTTTTATGAAACTAAATATGCTACACACAGGTTTGTCCTAGCCTCCTTAGTTCCTGAAATACAGGACAAATTTGTGATGCGCAGTAGTGAACAGGTGTTGAATACAGATGTGGGATGCGCAGTAGTGAACGCGCAGTAGTGAACGCAACGTCTACCGGCAGCCAGACGGTCCGCACTCTGTTCAGGAGAGCATAGCAAAAGATATATTAAAGAACCAGCTTTCTTTAAATTCCTTCCGAAAACGTTGCTGGCTCTTAGACTATAAGTAAAACAACGAAATCCTTATGAAAATGGAAAATAAATAATAACAAGCAAATCGTATATCCGATGACTGGAGGCATGAAAATGCAATAAATTTAAAAACTGCGTATTTCTCTAACCAATCGAAGTCTTTAAATTCAACCAATAAAATTAATAGCGTTGCGTCGGACAACGGATGCATGAAAATCAAGCTTTAAACAGTCCTGGATAGTTTACAGTTTTTAAACAGAATTACCTTGAGAGGAATTACCAAGAGAGGAAAAATGAATATAATGATGTATACAAACGAGTGGAAGTGAGACTCGTAATCATGCTCTAAAATTTGGCGAACGTACGTCTTATTAGATAGTTTAGAGTTGTTATTCATGGATGGCTACACAATGCTGCACATTTTTGTGCTCAAGTTCTGCACAATCAAAAATTTTCTAGTATATACGTCTGTGCTTGTTGCAATCTTGTGCGATCTTATTTATAAGCAACCTGAATTTTTCTACCAATAGTTAAATTATGGCTAACTTTGAATGAGAAATACATTTTTTGTAGAACTGGCCTTTTTCTAAACAATTGTTTGGTTATGGGAAACCAAAATCACAAAATTAGGTTAATTTTTAAATGACTTGTTAATTTGTAAATAAATCTTATTTATCTGAATGTTTTTAGTGGATGATAGAAAAGAAATAAGAATAAAAAAGTTTGTATTTTTGTATCTCTTAATATTTTATGTACTGGTAATTTATTATAACGTATTAAAAAAACATATATATGCTCCAAATTTTTTTCACACATTTACGAAAATAATTCCTATATTAATATAACTAATAATCTAATACCTTACAAATGTACGCTTTAAAAATAACACATCGGCATTCTGAACGATCCAGATGAGAGTAGTAATTAAATTAGCTACAACTTGACTTGCTTTTCTTTCTAACAGTGATGGGCGAGTTAAAAATCTCAATATAAAAATAGTTTATTACACGTAAAAAGTAATTTTGTAAATGTAAAAAACTATGTAGGTTTTTAAGTTTTGTGTCAAAACGTAAAAAACTTACGTCCAAAGAGTTAGTAAAGCTTCTTCAAAAACGGTGTTGGCTGTTAGTGACCCTTCTACAGAAGATATTTTAATTATTTTACTGTTTGGTCATTCTTTTTTAGCTTGTTTTTAGATTTTAATACTTTTATGATAAGTGACACGCCCATCCCTGATTTCTAGTGCTAGGCTGTTTAAAATAAAATAATATATCGTGTTTAAGTGGTTAATACATTTATGTCAAAAAACTGGACATCGATTGACATAAATATACTTTTTTTAAGTTTACACATATATGTAAATTGAGAGAGAAGGCGTTAAAGACCGAAAAAAAAAGAAAAAAATCTCAATTCCAAGAATATCTCACAAAGCATAGTAAATCACCATATCTTATTCACACTGTTGCAGTCGGAGGAGTCTCGTTCCTTGGGGCCCAGGTTATATTTGACGTAGGGCACTTCTACGTCGTTGCCGTCGGCATCGTTGCAGCACAGTTCGAACACTAGCGCTCTAACGTGAGGCTCAATTCTCTTCTTCGATACTCGCTTGACCACTTCAGACATGGTCAGGCCGAGACGTTCTTGTGCTTTAGCTTTCTGCATGAAGAAGGAGTACAGCATGCAGACACCTTGAGAAAGCATCGTGATTTCCAAACCATGTTTATCCTGGCAAATTAACAAAAAATATATATTTTTTAGGTTCTTTTGGGTCATTCCGCGATCCAACCGAGAGATAAGTTAAATCATTTACCAATTTATTTGCTTGTATTAGTTTTAGTTTCTTCTTTGCATAAAAAGATTAAGGAACGAGTATAATGTCATCCATACATTCATGTATTAGAGATGGAACTGACATCACAAACCCCATATGATTAATTTCTGACAGTTCTGTTTGATGTTTCAATTGACACTGAATTTGATTTGAAATTATGATGATTTGTTGAGCTTTTCTAAGCTTATTTTATGTTATTGATTATTTTTTCTAAGTAGTTAATCTGAAAGAATAATGTGCCAGAAGTAAATTAACAGCGACATTATTGTGAACTCCAGAAAGACTGTAAAATAGTTGTGCAACGTGCTGTAAATAAGGGAATAATTTTCTCTTAGTCCAGTAAATGAAGATTGAAACCACGGATTAATTCGTCGACCGGGATTTTTCTGGCGGATTGTGTACCTTTTGAGGAGTAGTTTTAGGGGAAAAATTGTAACACCGTGCTCGGCCAGCTTTGGCCGATAAAATGGTATCAAAAATATGCAATTTAAATTTTTTTTATTGGAACAAAAAATTAAACTTAGGTAAATACATGCAAAAATGGTCATTATCATTTTTTACGTAGAATTAGTAGTTTTCGAGATATTCCGCCTCGAAGATTGCTGATTTTTCTCTCCAAGTCTTAACGCTCCGGAGATAGATTTCATAAGCATATCATTAATTAATAAATTGTTTACTAACTTGGTTACAACTTAATATTTTTGATGATTCAAAGTTCATTTAAAAGGTAGTACAATCAACAGCTATCATTGGGAGTTGTTTAAATTTTGTCATATTTTATGATAATACATATGGGCTAACATTCCTTGGCCCAAACATTTTCAGATTTTTACAAACTTATTGATATTTTTACTAATAATAGCTTAATTACCTTAGCTTCATTTTTTTATTCCAAGAAACCTTTCTTAAATTGCATATTCTGGCAGATATTTGCGAAAAACTGATTTTTTTGGCCATTTGGGGCCATTTTTTCGGGTAAAGCTGGCCGAGCATGGTGTTACAATTTTTCCCCATAAAACTTCTTAATTTATGGTTGGGTTTGGCACGTGCAACTAAGAAATAAGATTATAGTACTTCTACAGTTTTTCTATTATCTAAGTTATCCATGTAAGTACATATGATCTAGGATATCATACACGTTATGTGTACTTAGTAAGCCAATCAATTATGAAATCCACTTACAATTAACAAATTATATATTTTTTTATGTATTTTCGCTGTTATTTAGAACATGTCAAAAATAATTAGGATACGTCAATTTGACTTAGCGTATCTAATACAATTTCAATAACTAATAACGTTTATTGACAATGTAAAACAAAACCAACAACTTACTGAGTCTACTCTACATTATAGTTTTAGACGTTCATAAAATTAGAATGGCACAGATAAACCGGAATTTGAGTCAGCCATAATAATTCCCTATCGCGTTCGACCTAAGTTTGTTGATATGCTACTTCCATAATCTTTTTATCCAAAGAGATTTTTTTTATAAATAACTCACCTGGAAATATTGTAGAAACTCTGCCAAGGTCATCTCGCCCTGGACCTCGAATCTGTCCCATAAGGTCCACTTGTTTCCGCAGTATTCCATCTGCGGCGCTGCGATCGGTTCGCTAAATCCAAAGAACGGTAACGCCAAATTGACGAAACCGTTTTTAAACGGTTCGAGACTCTTCAATGAACGAGCCAACTTGTACAGTTCCAAGCAGGCTAGACCGGCTACGACGGACGTTGTTGTTGCGATAGCAGGAATAATTTTACCTGTAAAAAATGTTTATTTGTTTAAAAACAAGTGTGGAATTATATATTTGGATTTGGATATAACATTTCTTCTTCATGATTATTTCTGTTATATTGTGTAAGACGGGATATTTCTTTTTTAGATATTACCGGGGAAACTATTATTTAATGTTAATTCTTTACTATTAAATAAGTTAATATTAGTTATTGTTAATGAACGGTAGGAGATAACTAATAGAACAACTAATTAACAAATAAAAATGATTTTATAAAGTAATTAATCTATACGGTTCATATCAAATGAACTTTTAATTACGTCATCGAGTGCGCGAATTTTAAATTAATTGTTGCCAACCACGGACATATTCGGCGCTGTGCTGTAAAAAATGTCAAGTTGCCGCATTAATTTATTTATTTTCTGCTTTGAATAAGAAGACTAAGGAAGGAGCTTAATGCTATCCATGTATTCATGCATGGTGGGCGGAAAAGGCACCATAAAAGCTCTCTAGGGTGGGGATCCTTGACAGTTCCGTTTGACGATTCATTTGACACATTTGAATTTGATTTGAAATTTTGTGGATTTGTCAGTCTTTACGGAGCTTATTTTATGTTATTTATTATTTATTCTACTACTGATAGTTGTATAAAGGTAGTAAATCTAGATGGAAATTGTGGCAGAACTTAAATTAACAGTGACACTATCGCGATTTATCGAAAAGACTCTAAAATAGTTGGTTGTGTAGCGTGCGGTAGATCTCGGCAAAAATTGAGTGAAATAATGGAACAACTTTTCGCTAGTAAGTGTCTATATAATATAGATACGTGTAGTAAACCGATCATTTATGAAATTCACTTAAATTAACTAAATTATATATTTTTGTTGCATTTTAGCTTTTATTTATTACTTGTCAAAGATTAGATGTCAAAGAATTTAGATACGTTAATTTGACTTGCTTCAGTAGCGTATCGGATGTTTGTGTTAATAAATACTTATTATAACATCTATTTTTATTAGAATTATGTATTTTTATAACAATTTTAATAACTACCAACATTTATTCACAACGTAAAATAAAACAACAAATTATTGAGTCTACCCCACGTCTACCCTACATCATAGTTTTACATTTTTTAAATAAAATTAGAACGACACTGATAAACCGGAATTTAAGTCGGCCATATTTGAGGCCCATCGCGGTGTACCTAAGATTTTTGATATGCTCCTTCCTTAGTCTTCTTATTCAAAGATTTTCTGACATTTGTCATTCGTTTTGACACTTTAGTTTTTTATTATGAGTTTTTAGTTTAAAAAATAGAGTTGTGATACTTTAAGCTTAAAAATGTTTACTAGCAGACTTTACAGTCGAATATTGTTCTTTTTAGAACCTCTTTCAGTGCGAAGTGGACAAAATATCTTAATAGCCGTAAAAAAACTCATCGCAACTTTATTAGAATATTTCGAACGGGAAAGCGGTGGTAATGGTCCTCTATGTCCCTTAAGTGCTATTAAGAAGGTGAGTTTGGTTGATGTAAATAATAACTGTTTATAGAGCGAAGGCTCGTATATACCCCCACCCCCCACCGTGGGAATTTGTGAGCTAAATATTTTTTGCTTGGTATTGTCATGTAATTTAAGGTTTTAGCTGTTTGCCTAATGCCAATTACAGCATAGCCCGGAAAAAAACGTAGAAAACTGAGGAAAATTAAAAAAAAAATTTAACCTATAAACCTTTTTTAATAAACTAATTTTTTAAACAAGACAAAAAATCAGCGTAGTAAATAATCAGCGTTTATATAATTGATGGCATGGCCCACATTCAGGCTGTCAATAACATTCCAGAAACCTTTGGTGAGATTGCCGAGATAATATTAAGTTGCTTTCCAAAATGCATAACGATAGATTGTGTGACAGATACTTACTTAGATATATATCTATTAAAAACATTGAAAGGCTAAGAAGAGGCTGTGGGGAAACATTCCTAATAAAAAGGTCCAAGACCAAAATACCTCGCGATTGGAAAAATTCCTCGGTAACGACAAAAACAAAGAACAAACTGGTCAACCTTCTATATAATGAATGGAAACAAGACAAATATGCCCACTAGTTTCATGGTAAAAACGTTTACTTATCACACAATGATCAGTGCACGTTGTTTACTAGCGAAGACGGTTTAACTGGAAATTGTACTGTACAAGAAGAGCTATGTTTTTCGCAAGAGGAAACGGATACTAAAATTATTTTACATTGCTTCCATGCTTCTCAATCTTTTCAAGATAAATTGCTTATCAGAATTAGGTCACCAGACATAGATGTTTTTATGTTGCTGATAAAGTACGCCAACGAAATTGAAAATGTTTTACTGTTTGAAACAGGGGTTGGAAACAAACGAAGGGTCATTAATATCACCACTATTTTTGGTATTAGTGCATCAAAGAGTCATGCTATGTTGAATATGCATGCATTATCAGGAACGGACACCACCAGTTCTTTTATTCGGCGTAGAAAGTTGTCGGTAAAATCTAAATGAGAAAAATATTCTAAATTCGTGCTTATCATTATATCATTAGGAGAATCACTTACACTTAAGAAAATCTAATGTCAGACCTAGAGGAATTCGTGTGTTACTTGTACACTGATAAAGGATACAGAGATATAAATAAGCTACGGTACGATTTGTTCACACAAAAATACTCTCCCACAGTGACATCTGCTTCACCAGATCCACAAGGTGTTGAATTAAGTTTACTACCGTCTTGCAAAGCTTCTCTTGAAAACCACATCCGTCGTGTAAACTACCAGTGCTACATATGGAATAATGCCCACGTCGTTAAGCCAATAACACTAAGTCCAGTGGGTCATGGCTGGAAATTGGAAAATGGACAACTAAAGATTGATTGGATCAAAGGGGATCCGTTGCCGCCCGAACTAACTGATGTTTTGGAAAGCTATCATCCAGATGAGTTTGAAGATGGAGATGAACCAGGCCTCTTTAACTTTACTGATATACATGAGGATGATGAAGATGAAAAAGAAAGCTATTGATTACAGATGGAACTTTGGAATTTTCTGATTTGTTTATTTTCATATGCATGCTTCTATAATTTAAAATTCTCTGTTTTTTCATGTTATAAATAAAAAAATTAAGAATTTGGAACCTGATGATTTACTTTTTTAGCTATTTCCCCAATAAACACACCATCAAAAACTAAGTAAGTAAGTAAGTAACCGTTTTTCTGCGGTTTTCTGTGTTTTCCGGACTATGCTGTAATTGATATGAGGCAAACAACTAAAATCTTAAATTATATGGCAAAACAAACAAAAAAAAATTCCCACACACAAATTCTCACGGGGAGGGGAGGGTTTTATATTTGTGGCCCATGGTATATTATATATTTATAATTAATTTATTTTTGTTTCCTAAAATATTTTGATTAAAAGAAAATATATAAAAGTGGACAAAGGGCGCCAGTCAAGCTTAATCATGTGACTAAAAGTTTAGTTTGTATGAACTGTATACAGGGTGGACCATTAGTGCGAGAAAGTCCAATATCGTCGTTGCTGACGCACATATGAAAAAAAATTATGTAAATGTTACATGGTTTATGAATCTTTTATTGTATACTACCTAAAAATCTTTTATTGTATGCAGAGCGTCCCAAAAAATATTTTATAATTAATGTGTTCCTAAATTTTTAACGGTTCCGCAGTGCACTTATCCACTCGCGAGTGCACTCGCTCCATTAGATATACTCCCACTTTGGAGATAAAAAATGTTTTAAACCATAAAAAGTGTTGTTTAGAACTAAAGCAAAACACGTTTTTTCAATCCTGCAAATAAAGTATGTCCAACGAGAGAATACATGACATACATGTTTTGTCATTTTAGTTCACATATAAATTATATTGTTTTGACATTTTTTGGATGCCGCTCTCGAAATCTTCACTGACTCGTTGGACGGATTTTATTATACGCATTTTAACTTGCAAAACGAAGATAAAGGTAGTATATACAGGGTGTCTCAGATTTTAATCGGGAAAATTTAATAGACGATAGAACTTGCAAAAATAAAACAAAAAGTCCATATCAACTTGTAAGATTTAAAGCTTCCTTTTCGATATAAAGTTGAAACTAACCATTATTATTTAATTTATTGTCCAGGGTGGAGTGAATAAATGAATTTAATTTTTATCGCAAGAAGTAAACAAGATAGACAAAAAAGTCAGGAGAAAAAAAAATTTTTAATTACTAAATCCAAAAATAATATTAAACTTCTAAAAAAGCAGTGGCGTGCCTATTTTTTCCTTTAAAATAATTTAACAATGATGCCCCACCGCCGCCCCTGGCCATTAAACTTAAATCTAATTACATCAAATTAAGTCCCATAGTAAGTATTATAAACGGGTGAAGTTGTATCAAAATCGATTAAATAGTTTTTCAAATATCTTAATTTTTTTTTCTTTTATAAGTAACTTTAACACCCTGTATCTCGAAAAGGAAGCTTTAAATCTTACAAGATGATATGAACTTTTTGTTTTATTTTTGCAAGTTTTATCGTCTATTAAATTTTCCCGATTAAAATCTGAGACACCCTGTATATACCGTGTGATCGTAAAAAAACGGCGTTAAGGTAATTTGGAAATGACGATCGATGACATTCATCACATGCTTAAAAAGAGCGATTTTAATTTTCAAAAAAGTTCTGACGTCGTTTTTTTTTCGATTGTATGGAATTATAAGCAATAAAGAACGCTCGTCTGAAAAAAAAACAATAAAAATGTAAACTCATCGTTCAAACAAAAAAATGTTCAAACCTACATATTTTGTTCACAAAACGAAAAAAGATTAATAATTATCTTCCACACACTTGAACGTTTCTATAACTAGCACAAATTATGAAACTGCCTGAGTGTGGATTAATTTTACTAAAATTATACTCCTATATAAACATCTTACCTGCGATCAGCTTAGATTTGTGTCTATCGGCTGGAGGAATTTTATAGTTCGCCGCTCTTAAATTCGACGCTGCAACGATGAAGTCCATGTGGAAATTGCTGTCGTCGTCTTTTTCGAAGTCCAGAGGAGTCAGCACTAAACCTGCGACTTCTTCGGGAGGAGGTAGCTCACCTCTGAGCTGGGTAATGCGGTCCATGTCGATGCTGTTGCCGTTTGCTGCCATTTGTGAGTCGGTTACGGCAATTTTAACGCCGGATTTTGGTACGAACGGTGGGACCTGAAATAGTAGTTCAAATGAACCAGTGTTCTGGCGCCTCCCTGCCTATTTATTTCTTATTTATATCGTTGAATAAGCTAAGAAACGAGTCAAATATAAAATTTACATATTCATACATATGAAAACGAAGGGATTTAGCAGAAACTTCTTTAATTTTAGTTTTATTTTTTGAGTTTGAAATACTTTATTTTATAAGCGGTTTTATGCAAAGTGTATAAATCTGGAAAGACATTGTGCCAGGACTTTAATTACAGCAAGATTATTGTTAATCTTAGAAAGAGACCTGAAAAAACAATTTTAACGCGTTTTAAAAAATAGAACGCCACTGATAAATTCAAGTCATATTAAAAAACCTTCGTGGTCGCACTAATGTTGTTAATTTACTCCTTTCCTAGTCATTTTGTTCAGTATTTATACATGACTTTGATAAGAAAGCTGATGTAAAGTCTGTCGAGAAAATAGATAACAGTTGACAGTTATTTTTTTCATAAAAAATTTTAAAAAAACCTAATTGTATTAGTTGGTAATTTCAATTTATTTGAAAAACTCGTCGTTAAAAAATATTGTATCCCTTTTCTACAGATGAAGATCAGTAAAAATATCTTTTCTCTTGGTGAAATGGGATTTTATTTTCCACACACTTGAACGTTTCTGCTAATGATATAGTGCATTAAGAAACTGCCCGAGTGTGGTAAATCACTTTTTTAACAATTATTACATATCACGTTATGACACGGAGCCCTTTTCTCGTAAAATAGTCAATAGTTTGAAACAATATTTTCAGAATATTCAAGTACTGATACTTGTTAACCTTCACAAATTAAGAACCTAATCCTATAGCCACAAAGGAACTGCTAATGCTCAACAGTAATAAAGTGCGGATTAAACAGATATTTTGACAAGATATATAGGACTGTCAAGTGCTACCTGAATAAGCTCACCCTGTATCAACGAAATCTTTGCTACAGGCTTTGCGATAAAGATCCTGAAACAACAGCACATAATATGCTACTGCAAGGATCTGGATCGCGAGCGACACTTTCTATTTGGGGAAGCAAGGCTGAAACCGGACAAACCATGCTTACCGCCTATCAAGCACCTGCACAAGATGGTGCAGGCCACAGTGGTAGGAGACTGGGTGTAGAGGTTCGAAATAAGGCTTTGGTATTGATTTTGTTAAAAAACTAAAATATTTTACTATAAAAATTGTAAATGTTTCTCCTACCTCAACTTTTGAAGCCACTCCTGCGATATACGCTCTATCCCTATTCGTGGGAATCCCATACACCTGCGCCTTCAGATTTGCAGCGGCTATGACGTAATCCAAGTGTAACGTGTCATTTATGTCAAAGGTGAGTGGTACTGGACAACGTTTTGGACCGGACCAGAACAACTGACCGGTACTTGTGAGCTGATCTGGTGGAAAATTGTAGAGCAGCTGACTGATTTGATTGTGATATTGGTCCTAGAAGAAATATTTAAAAATATTTAAAAAATAAACATTAGTTTTTAAGATCAGAACCTGACTATTTAACAGAAATTTCAGACAGAATATAGTTGATTATGTCTGGGAGAAATAAGTAAACGTAGAGGCCCTAAAGCCCGGTCTATACATAAAGTTTTATCTGTCAGTCTTACAGTTAATGTATGGGTTTAGTTGTTTTGTGAGTTTCGAGATTAACAGGGTAATATTGAAATTAACTTAATTTCCGACCTTAACCGTAAAATATACATATATTACCCTAGATATATTACAACATCTTTAATAAGTAATTTTTAAAAATGTAATATTTTTGCATAATTTCACAAAATAATCTAATTTTACAAAATTGTTTAAAATATTTAACGATTATTACCTAACAATAATGATTTTCACAATTAGCTTTGCATGTTTACGAATGAAATTTAAACCATAAATACAATTTTGTAATAAAATTCCATGTATTTTCTTTTCAATTTCACTAAACACAGTGACGACCGCCTTGAGAACTGTCGTCAGTTTTGTAGACGATCTTCCGTTTTACCCGACATGTAAAACTGACAGGTAAAATGTTATGTGTAGACAGGGTCTAAAATTAGTTTGTAAAAAATCAAATTTATATTCTACTTTTACCCTTCCCTTTTATCATTTATTTTATGAAATTGAATTTTATGCTGTTTTTTAACAAAGAGTTTTTTTATTATATCCAAAATATTGAATATCTTTTATCGCTCTATCTTCGTCTATTAAAAATAATGGCGCTCGGCGCCTTTTCTAAGCTGCTTCATACTCTAGTAATGAATAACATAAAAATGAGCACATACCTGCCAATGTTTTCGAGCCCAAACAATACACTCTTCGAACGACTTGGGCCTATCATCAACCAAAGCTGCTTTGACAGATTCCAACGTTTCCAATGGCTGTACACCCGGCAACTTGACAGTCCTCTCGATAAAATCGGGATCTGTAAGATACTGAGAAGCGTTCTCTGCACTCTGTCTGAACAGCCCTTCAAATGCGTCCCTCGCCCATTGTAACGTGTGTTCGATGGCGTTGGGGAAATTCTTTAAGGTGCAGATGGGAATGCTTTTTTCTGGAGGGTCCTGGGACGAACTGTAGGATTCAGTGAGGAACGGAACTACAACTTGGACGTTTCCTTTTGTTCCTAATGTGCCAGATTCGAGCAAAGGTTTTCGGTAATAAACGCACCTAAAGAAAAAAAGGCAAATATTTATAAAAAGATTTGTGGCTATTTGGTATTGGTATTATACTAAGGGTCCTGTAAAACTGCAGGGCAACAATGACTAGCTAGCAGTCCGACTTATCGGCTTATAATCCGCAGAGTTGCGCCCCATGAAAAAAATATACATAAGACTATTTAAAAAAGAATAAGAGAACATTGCTTTTAAAACATGTCCGTGGACCATCCCTTGGTTGACATTGGGTCAATCAATCATTCTATTTCCCTATTAGCACAACATATGTATTGATGATGTTACCAGTATTGATCATCAAGTAATATTACAGTTATATTAATAAATTAAGGCCGCAAATAAGTAAACCATATACAATTTTATATAGTAATTATTAATTAAAATAAAATGAAATATAATAAGAATATTGTAATTGTATTCCTGCAGATTAAGTAAAAAGTTAAGTAAAAGGCTCTCCTGAACATTTATCGTTTTTGGAACTCATCGTTTTTCCCATGCGCTCTTCAGTTCAAAACGAAATTGAACGAGACAACAGGAGACAACAGAAAGTCGGTAAAAAAAATTCTCCCACGCCCTTCTCCACAATTTCACGAGTAGTTTAGAGACGTTTTAAGAAATGAAAATAAATCAAGACAAGCGGAGACAAGCCGAGACGAGAAAAAGTTAGACGAGAGAACACGACCTTAGCCTACTTCGAGCTATTTCGCGCATAGTGTAGAGAATGTTTAAAAATTGGAGTTACATTGGAGTTAAGTATTAAAAGTTAATAGCCAAAATACCACAAACCTTCTGTCCATGTATATCCTGGCATCAACATTATCTAAAGCGTTGGCAACACCGTCTAAATTTTCAAAGAAGTCATCATCATAAATGCTCTCGGTTTCGGGACCGACTCGATTTTCGTGGGCGATCACATTTATTTGGTCGTTCATCTTCTTTGCAGCCTAAAAAACAACCCAATATGTAACAACGAGTGTGTTTTGTTGTTAAAAGTGACTTACCTTGGCTGCACAGACTGATTTTGACTTCTGTACATCATGAGGTCGGAATAAGAATTGCCTATTCAAGTTAGATTTCTCGATTAAGTCCATGTCGGTTATAAAAATCTGACCATTGTCAGATCCCACACCCATCATGGAGAAATTTTTCAAAAGTTCACATCCAATAGCTCCGGCACCCACAATAAGGTATTTCAGTGAATCTATAAGAAATATTTGAACATAAAACTCAATATTTGTGCTTCACAACCCTAAGACCAGCCATGGTAGCCATTTTAAACATTCTTTTTATCAATGGAATACTTTAACAATACAGAAGCGACAGAAAACCTCAACATTTTTAGAGTATGTGCATTTTTCTTGAACATTAAGTCCCATATTGACAATTAAAGTCACGTAACACTACAATTTCTACACTTTCTTTAATTTTTCGACAAAGAAATTGTTAAATACAGTGAGAAAAATAATTTCTTTATGTAGCTGTTCGTATTGTGACGTTATATTAATTCTTTAAAAAACTTTAGAATATAGTAAATACAAATTTAAACAAGCAATATGAAATTAAATTATAAACGTCATTACAATGAATAAAGATAAAAATATTCGGGAAGCATGGGTATTTAAGCATCTGTTCTTTTTTTATGTTTTCATGTAAAAAAGAGGTAAAAATGTAAAAAATATAAGAATAAGAGATGGTGGTTTCTTCTTAAGGGCCCCACACACTTTAGATGTTTTGCACGGTTTTAACCGAGAGATAAGACTGCTTTTCAGTTAAAAACATAGGTGTATGTGGGTGATCGGTCCAGTTTTACCCATAGTCTAATATCTGGATTTTCTTTTTTACTATAATTACTGCTGCCAATGCTGACAAGTTGTTTCTCGAATTCATGGTTCTAAATTACGGCGCAGATAAAATGAAGTGACCAAAATGAAACACTGTGTGGTGGTTGCTTGTCCGCACTTTCTGCAATTTTAATTGCATGATTAAAACCGAGCAAAATTATTTTGAAACAGATTTTTATATTTACAAAAAGTAAAATCAATAAAAAAAACGAATTATATAAAAATCAAATGAATTTTTGTAGCAGTCATTAATATTAAACAACGATTTAAACAAAATTTATTCAAAAAGTATTTCTTTGGTTTTGACAAAATATTTGTTTGATGTAAAAACCATTATGGCTTTTTACGCGCCCATTCCTGCAATTAACCATCAACTATCAAAATTTCACAACAGGCATCATTAAAAGTATAGCCTTAAAATATGATTAATAAGCTCATTTAAAATTTAGTCCATGAAATAATCATATATTATATCACGAGACCTATAAATTTAATCGATTAAACTATTCAAATATATATTGCGCCAGATTTTGCTTGGAAAATAGTTGAATACACAATAATTTAATAAAAACCCGAAACCGCGAAGCGGTCGAGTGTTTTTATTCTAAAATTATTGTGCATAAAACTATTTTCTAAAAAGCAAGATCATGCAAAAAATTATTTGGGTAGTTTAATCAATTAAATTTATAGGCTGAGTGATATATGGCTAGATTATTTCCAGAATGAAGCGAATGACTTAGGATGGAGCAAATAACTATAAGAATTTTATTAACTATAAAATTTAACATTTTCGGACAACATTTTTTTTACAAACAACAAATTCTAAATTTATAATATTCTTGGTCACAGGTCACAGGTACATAGAACAACATTATTTTTGTTTTATATCAGTACACTTGTAATAAAAGTTACAATTTGTGTAAGTTATAGATGTCATTATTATATGAACTGTTGCCAAAATCTCTCAGAATTAGTGATAAACGACAAAAAGAAAACCCAAAAGGAAGCCGAAAAAATAATCGCGGTTAAACCGGTCTTGGTATTTAATCACTTATCTAAACAAAATTTATTCGAAAAATTAGATTAGCTGATTGGTCCATTTCACGATGAGGGAAATAATCACTTGTATCGCTTCTGTATGGTAAGGAAAAGTCTGTCCCACATGTCAAAGAAGATTTTGACAGACAACATACAAAAATTAATTTTGTGAATTAAAATGACACACAGACAACTGTCACTGTCATGTGTCCTCTAGTTGCACAGACTTTAATTGTGTAAACTCAATGTCTAACAAAACCAGAAAATTATAACAAAAAAATTGGTAACTTCGCCAAGTTTGTTAATGTTATCAAGGTGTGTGTGGCGACATCTGTCGGGGAACGAGCCAAGTAGAAGAAAAGCGAGTTCAGTTAATTCCCAATCAGCGGAAATTATTGGAACCAAAAAGAACGTTACAGATAATTTTTGAACGTTCGAGAAGCAGCCGCAAGGATGTATATAAGCGCAACCGCGCTCAGCAGCTTAGTTTTTTGTTTTGAAACACGATTAGTTTTAAATTGTGAATCCTGACAATTTGGCGAACGATTTTTAAATAGTTAATTGTGTGTTGTAATCAGTATAAATTGTGTGTATATAGTGAGAAAATAAATTCGTTATGGTATTTTATCGTGAGTTTAAATTAGTGGAATTCGTAACAATATAGACCTTTCCTAATGTTTTTATTTTAGGAAATTCATGAATTAATTATGTATTTACTTACTGATTTTCTTTTGGAACTCTTTGCCAAACACTGCTATTTGACTATCATATCTACTGCCTGTCGGTGCTGCATCCTCTTCTGTAATAAGTAATCTGTCTTTTGGATCGGATGGTAAACATTCAATGGCGTCAAAGTACAGCCATTGTAAGATTGGATGGAACTTGCCAGAACATGCTTTCATCACTTCTTGGGCGACTATACCTCCTATAGTAGCGTTTATTGGATTTAGCTCACCAGCAGAAGTCTATTTAACAGAATTATTATCAAAGAATAAAATATTTAATGATTTAAAAAAAAGTTTCTTGTCATAAAAGCTAAATTTCAGAGTTTTTTTTTCATTTTAATTTAGTTAAAAAAAGTAAATAAAAATACTGTATCCCTTTTCTATAGATAAAGATCAGTAAACATACCTTTTCTCTTTTTGAAGTGGGATATTATTTTCCACAAACATGAACGTTTCTGCTAATGATTAGTGCATTAAGAAACTGCCTGAGTGTGGTAATAACCGATTTTTTTAATTACTCTGATTATCCTTGATATGTATTGCTATACACAATATAAAGATATTTGCAAGGAAAAAATGTACTAGCGTAGAGTTACTGAAATGCCGCGATTTCTGATAAATTTAAAACCATAATGAAAAGCAAAAAGTTTCTTTCAAATCAACTGGACTATAGAACATATTAGTTCTACAGAAACTACAGCTACTGTTTGACCAGCGGATCTGAAGCTACGGAAGGAATGCGAGAAAAAAAACTCGATATTGCCACGTTTATCTATAAAATTGCAAAATTGCCAGACATGAACTATAAATTTAATATATTTTTATTATATATAATGTGTTTAGCATATATTCTGACGTATATTACTAAGGAATTTTAACGTAGTTCATATTGTTCGATATGTTTTATTTAATAACTTATTTCTTTCATTCCGTATAACCTGCTTATTATGAAAGTTGAAGATTTTTCATGGATATCATTGGCAAACCGGCATCGCCGCGCATGGCCGCCTATTCATCGAACATGATTGGCGAGAGTACGTCACATGATTTGTTACCACGCGGTTGCCATGGCTTTTACGCCTTTCCTATTCGCTTGCTTTATCCCCAACTTCACGGTCTCTTCTGAAAAGAGTAGGAATATTGAATACTATTGAAATATCCAGTGGCGGTGTCATTCTTTTGATCATTATTACTTTATTTCATTATTTTATACCGGTTATCCTAAACTTTATTCCTATATTTGATAGTTAAGTTATTTTATCATCTTGTTATAATGTTTTTCGTTCGTAGTTTTTAATTATATTATTATAGTATATTTGTGTTTTAAAATGAATAAATTTGTTAAGGGTACGACGCTACATAGCCAGACAAGAGAAATAATAGCTAATTTATATAGGTAAGTAGAATAATAATAATATAATTATTAGAATATTAAAATTAAATATTGGCTAAAATGAAAAGCACACATTTTACCTAAATATTTTAGCTAAACTAAAATAAATATAAATAAACGTGGATGAAATCTCATTTGGTTTATTTCCTTGTGTTCATAATAGGGTTTGCGACGAAGAAGCTACAGAGAGTTCGCTTAAGTTGCCGCTTAAACGTAAACTTGAGCGGATATCTCTTTATACCAGAGTTAGCGTATCGGCTATAAAAAAATTCACACAGAAGATAAAAAAAAAGGCTGTAAACTAACCCCGATAAAATGATATCCAGCGCTGGAAAGAAACGACCACGTAAGACTGCTGTTGAAAAGCTCGACGACTTTTTCCAAGTGGTCAGGAATTTGATAAATAGATTTTATCTCGAATTCAAACTCGTCCCCACAATTAGAAAGTTTTTGCAAAAATTGCAGGAAGAATCGAATTTTCCTTTGGCAGGGAAACGCTTAGTATTAAAATCAAATGATTTTTTTTGGCGTAAATGTCAAAATAACAGATAAATATTAGTGGAGCGGCCCATTATATTGCAGAGAGAGATATAAATATATACGCGAAATTCGAAGATATAGCCAAGTATTATCTATTTGGATGAAACATATGGGTAGACAATGACCTAACCTTTAAAAAGTGCTGGCGGAGCGATACAATATCTGGTGTAATAGGCAATATTGGATCTACTGGTGAGTAAAATTATGTTTTGTTTGCGCTTCCAAAGTTTGGTTGCAAAAATTTTTTTGCTGGAAATAGTTATATCTAAAATTATGTATTATAGAAAAAAATATAGTTAGTACAGATATATAAATAAATATACCTCAAGACTCGGTCTTGATCATCTGAAAGAAATATATTTCAACTATTACTAATCTGAGAAATTATTTATTTTTTTAACTTTCTGGTATAGTTAAATCTATGACTGAACTTCAACTTTCACATTTAAAAAAAAAGTAATGTTACTTCCCATAAGAAATGTTTATCTATCATAATACAAAGTACATTTGAGCATAATTTTTTTGTCATACTGTATCATGCTTATTATATATTTTTAATTCCAAGAATATATTTCGATGACTTACCTTTGCAAAAAGGTCCAACAATTCAGTGTTTACTTCTGTATCACCACTAACTAGTGTTTTAGCAATAGATAAAAACTGTGAAGCATCCTCAGAACTCCACGGTTTAGGTAATTTCTTGTTTCTTTCTACATAATTATGCAAAGTACTAAAAGCAAGATGCAGTTGAGATGGATGGTCAAATTTGGCAAAATCCTAAAAATTATATTATTAATTTTTATCATTATTAACTGTATAGAGATAACTTACTGTAATAACAAATTCTGGGTTTTCTAACGATTCTTTCAGAGACTTGAAACTCAATTCTTTGGGCATTTTTACTTGAGTAGCTATACCACCTCTCTCATATTTTGAAAAACCTGTAGTATCTCCAATACTGAATGTGTATGGTCCCAGCACCTACAAAATAGAACTGATATTACAAATATAAAAAAAATGTCTAGTATTCTACCTTAATTTTTTTTGGTGCACAACCGTTTAGTTCTGTCATACCCTGTACTTCAGAAAATGTGACATAGTCTCCATCTTCCATACCGTGTCTTGTGTCATCAATGCAAGTAACAACACCTAAAATTCATACCATATAAATTGAGAATCATTTCTAGAAGTTCATATACAGAGTGTTTAAAAGATCCATTAACAGCTTTGTTATTTGAGATTTTTACATCTAGTCTTTTTATAAAATATGCAAGTAATAGTTTTTCATAGATATAAATATATAAAATTTTCTCCACATTTAAAGCTCTCCCAAAGTTACAAAATAGTATTAAATTCTGTACATTTTTTAATTGGAAATAGTAGCAAGTACAGAAATAAGTGTTAAGAATATTAAAATATATTACAATGTGTAGTGTATCGAGGGCAATTCAAGATTGGAGTCTGTCCAACTGTCACTGTTCAATGACAGTGACAGTTGTGACTGTCATTTTGGCTAACAGGATAATTGTGTTTTATGTCATTTTCTAAATGTCATCTGTGGCAGTCTTCCGTGAGTAATTGAACAGACTTTAGATTTTCTATTTTTCTCTACTATTTTTAATAGTATGTATTTTATCACATGAATGACAGATGACAGTAGTTTTTATCCAACTTTTTCTTTTGCTAAATACTTCCTCTTTATATCAAAAAGTTATGTTAATAAGAATAAATCATATTTACTAATTGACCAAGTTAAATATTTATTTTAAATCGCTCTGTTACAGGGTGGCGGCTCTCATATGACGCGGAGGCTCCATGGAGAAAGGTAGTTTATATCGAAATGAAATTTTGGTAGCATATGTAGGTTAGTATAGAGCATTTTTTTAAATATAGGGATATCTACAGGGTGTCCCTAAAAAAGTTATACATTAAAGTTGTGTTTTTTGTAATGGAACAATCCTATATATTAATTGACTTTAGGATTCTAGGAGAAAAATAAAGGTGAGTTTCATTAGGGAAGTATATCACTAAAATGCAAGGTTTTTGACATATTTAACATTTTCCAAAAATGAAGAACAATTTTTAAATTTCAATAAAAACTACCTGAAGTGGAATTTTACCGGTATACCTAGCCTAATATGCAGTTAAAACAACTATTGTACTTTAAATTAAATTAAAACTTGACCCAAAAAGTTACACAGGGTGAGACAAAATTAATATTGAACATTAGTCACCTTTAAAAGCAAGAGACTCTTTTATTTTAAATGGGCCACCCAGTATATTATACCAATATTCAATCGGGAATTTATGTGTCTTCAAAATACTATTAAGGTTGCATACCCTACAAACAAATATTTTTCTAGATATCTTGATTTTTATGATTTAGTATTGGTAGATCTTTATTATATAATAAAATCTAGGTGGCTGTGATATGTCTGACGTTACTTCAACAAAGCTGTCACATTAGTTCAACTTTAAAAATTTGCCGCAAATGGAAACTTATCCTACATAAGAGAGAATTGATATGATTCTATTAGTTGGGTGGCTGCAGTGTGCGTTCACCAATTAATAAAATACTTAAATGCCGAAGACAGTGTTAACAAAACTCGACCAACTATTCTCAACAACATGAGAAAATATTGTGGCTGCTTTTCAAAATTAAACTCTGCATATTATTATGCCTTTTAACATGAAAAGATCTATCTGTTGAACATCTGTCAACATGAAAAGAACTGAGTGAACAGGAAAGGAAGCATTTTCAGCATTTGATTTCATCTAGCTAATTTTTGTCACATAATTATACGTTTATATCTAGTTTTAATTCCGTAATAATTAAAATATATTTAAACGTGTATTTTTTTACCGTGGAATAGTTTACTCTACATCTTTTAATTTTTCTTAAATTAACAAAAGGTATATCACAGCCACCTAGATTTTATCAAATAATAAAGATCTACTGACTGAAAATTAAAAAAATGAAAATATCTAGAAAAATTTTTGTTTAAGGTGTAGGCAACATTAATAGTATTTTGAAGATATATGAATTCTCCATTGAATATTGAAATAATATATTGGGTGTTCCATTTAAAATAAAGAAGTAATTTGGTTTTAAAAGTGACCAATGTTCAATATTAATTCTGTTTCACCCTGTATAGCTTTTCAGGTCAAATTTTAATTTGATTTAACATATAACAATTATTTTAAGATCAGGCTATATACAGAGTAAATTACAATTTAGGTACCTGTTATTGAAATTTAAAATTTACTCTTCATTTTCACAAAATGTGAAATATGTCAAAATCTTTAGATTTGACGCATATGCTTCTTTAATGAAACTATCTTTTATTTTTTTTTCATAGAATCCAAAAATTAATTAATATACCGGGTGCGTCTGAAACATCAAAAGTGGCTCACCCCTATAACTTTTTTATTAAACGAGAAAATACTTTTAATAAAACGTTAAAATAACTTTTTTATTAAACGTTAAAAAAACGAGATTTGGTATGTTAGTATATGACATAAATTGGGATTGATTGACGTATTCAATTGTTTTCGGTCACTTCCGGTTTCACCGGAAATGACTATAACTTTTGATTTTTAAATGGCACCCCCGATATTTTTTTACTTTATTCGATAGAGAATGTCACTCTAAATAGAATGACATATCATATGTGAACTTTTGACATTTTCGCATATGGTTTATTTGAAATTATAACTTGCAGTTCATAACGAAAATTTGACTTGAAATACCAAATGTGTGGTATCAAATTATTCGTAAAAAAATGCTTTTTCCAAATACGCTAATGAGCCACCCTCGTTCCATTTGAAAAAATTGAGATATGATTAAAAATACAATTTAAGCATTTTCTAACTGGCCAGGACAAGACACTAAAAACATTAGACGATCAAATCTATTTTTCCAAGGCTCCTTGATGAAGAATTAGTGTTCTTAACATAGCCATGGCACACTAGATTGAATTTTAAAATACAATTTTTTATTAAGCGAGAATGTTAAAAGTTGACATATAATATGTCATTCTATTCAGAATGTCATTTTCTATCAAATAAAGTAAAAAAATACCGAGGGTGCAATTTAAAAACCAAAAGTTATAGTCATTTCCGGTGAAACAGGAAGTGACCAAAAACAATTGAATACCCCAGTCAATCCCAATTTATGTCATATACTAACATACCAAATCTCGTTTATCTGCAAAAATAAAAAAGTTATAGGAGTGAGCCACTTTTGAGACGCACCCGGTATAGGTTGTTCCATTACAAAAAAAAAACAACTTTGATGCATAACTCTTTTTGGGGACACCCTGAAGAACTGTCTATATTTTTAAAAAATGCTCTATACTAACCTACATATGCTACCAAATCATTTCAATATTAAACCAAAGACAAAAACAATTGAATACCCCAGTCAATCCCAATTTATGTCATATACTAACATACCAAATCTCGTTTATTTATCTGCAAAAATAAAAAAGTTATAGAGGTGAGCCACTTTTGAGACGCACCGGGTATAGGTTGTTCCATTACAAAAAAAAAACAACTTTGATGCATAACTCTTTTTGGGGACACCCTGTAGAACTCTCTATATTTTTAAAAAATGCTCTATACTAACCTACATATGCTACCAAATCATTTCTATATTAAACTACCGTTTTCTTTGGAACCTCCGCATCGTATGAGAGGCGCCACCCTGGTATGTTATGAAGAAGGCACTATCATAAACTATAGTCTGTCCAAAGAAACAATCCCTGACAGTGACGGATGTGTCGGTCATTTTAATTCACAAGCAAATTGTAGTTTCTGTATTTTTTTGGATGGTATCTGTCAAAAGGCTTCTTGACTTGTAGAACAGACTTTGTTTCAAGTTAAAAAGCATCAATAACTTGCGATTTTTGTAATTTTAAAAGAACTTTAAATGTGTTGAATATTTAATTTAATCTCGTATTATCATAGTAGGAAATACAAATCCTGAATTGAAATATGTTATTTAAATAGAAAAAAAATATAAAATTTTCTACAAAAACTTGATTTTGTACCATTTATTAATTCTGATAAAACAGAATTATAAAAGTGAAATACCTAAATATTTATGTTTCATAGAGCATTTAAAAAAAATTATATTAAATTTTATTATTAAAAAAGCATTCCTTTTATTTTCAGTTAGTTTTTCAATAGAAAATAATATGTTGCTTTATAAGATGTATTTAATTTGAAAAAATAAATATCTATTTTAAGCTTCATATTTTAACCTAGAAAATATAAATTCCCACATTGTAATATCTAAAAATACTTTAGTGACTATTTTTTTTTAAACAAACCTACATAATTATATTATTCATGATGATTCATATAAAATATCAATACAAATTTAAAAAAAAATACTTACTTTCTTTATCAGTACTAATATCAGCAATCATAGCTGAAACCACAGGCTCCCCATTCGTATCTACTACAGTGAAACTGTCACCAAAATCACAAAATACTTGGGCAAACAACCCTTTCGTATCTGCCACAATTAGGGCAATATTATTAGCATGAGTTACTTCGCTAATTCTTAATTGTTCTGCTCTGGTCGAATCAGTTAACACTACTACACTAAACTTCTTAATATAATCCTCATTGAGGGGTCCAGTGTACGAACGAGTTGGAACATAATTGTTCAGCTCAGACAACTTCTTACAAACAACTTCAGCACGATTTTTACCTGTGTCTTCTGGTACAAAGAAAAACTGAGAACTAAAGTCAGTTATGGATACCTGTTTTTCATCGTGTATGGTAACTGACTTAACACCACCTAAAAAATAACAGATACAAATTATTTTACCTCTGAGAGTTGGTTACAAGCTTTTTTTTCCTACCTAAAATCACATTTTTTGCAACTTCAACACCTAAGCCACCTAAACCAGATATAAGGACGTCGCTTGATGCCATACGTCGCATGGCATCATGACCCAACACATAAAGTTGTCTAGAATACAAGCCCTCATCGATTTCAGCTGCATTATTCTATAAAAAATATGTATTTTTATAAATTATTTGTCAACATCTTGTCAAAATATAACAATGAATGTTTGTTGTTGTAATATTATTAAAAAGTAATGAAAATACTTATTGTATTTAATTAAACTAAGTTTATGAAAACGTAAATTGTCTAGAATACAAACCCTTATCGATTTCAGTTGAATTATTCCATAAAAAATGTGTATTTTAATAAATTATTTAAACATTTTTTACATAAGTCAACATCATAAATGTCAAATACAACAATGAATGTTCTTTGATGCAATAATTAATTAAATGGGAATGAAAATACTTATTGTGTTTGATTAAAATAAGTTTATGAAAAGTACGTGATAATGACAATGCGTTTTATAAAAGAAGGTTAATGACTAAAATATTTCTACATGAAAAATAATCTTGATAAAAGTTAATACAGAAGAGAAATATTTCTCGAATATGAGTGTGAGTTCAACTACTATATTATGATGGTTTCTGAATAATATTGGAATAAATAGTGATATTACTTAAAGACAAGTGAATTTACCTGTGCTTGCGAGCCAGAGGCTACTCCGTTGTTCGCCATATCAATGGAACCGCTTGTATCTAGCTTCCGCTTTTTTGATGGGGGATCGACGGAGCTATCTGCCGTATCAGCACTAGACATCGGACACGAAAGAACACTTTAATTAATTTCCTCCCTTTTGGCAGTGTGTTCGTAATTTTCGTGAAAAAATCAACATGCAAAACCGGCCAGCGAACATGCGAGCTTTCGAACAAAGAAAACGGGATCGAACTGCGCAAGCGCGATTATTTTTCCGAACTGTCTAATTTGAGCGCCCGTCAAATATAAATGGAATTCAAAAACTTATTTATTTAAATAATAATGAGTTCCTTTGAATATAATAATCTCAAATAGATATCGTAGTTCAAAAATGACTTTGATCCACTTTGTCAGTTATCTATAATACTTTAGGATTATTGTAAGTAATGAATGAATTGTAAACATATCTGTTGGGCGTTTATGAATAATGTTTCAAACGTACTTATATTCTGAGTAAAAATACGGAGTTTTGCACAGGGAAAATAGTTGTCGAAGTTTCTTCTGGAAAACACCGAACTGTTTTGCGCTTGTGGGAAAATTTGCGTCGGCGCTTGGGCATTTAAGGTCACCAATAGAAACGCTCAAAACAAACAAACTTCCTAAACTTTGTTTGAATTCTTTGTTTGAATATCTTTTCCCGAAACTCTGAATGACTTATTTTCTTAATAATTAACTGCAACTTTCAACTGACACTTGCTAATTTTGAGATATAAAATGACTTAAAGTGACACACTAAAATATACATATTAAAAAAACTACTTACTTGATTGGAGAGCAATTTTTATAACAGCGCGACAATTGCGACAAGCAGAAATGTGAAAATGAACAAATAACTTTTATTATTGTTGTGTACTAAAAATGATTCACTGGTTGTCATGTAGGTACAATGCCTCCGATATAGAATTTAATTTAAATTAGGATTACCTACTGTTCTCCGGAGATAATAAAACAAAAACCTACCACTTATTGAAAAAAAACACGTCAACCAACCTTGCGTTTTCCAGTATTTTTCTCGAATGTATCTATACGGTGACGTCAACGCAACAGCACAAAAATCGAAAAATATGAATGTTTCATTGACACAAAAAAAATCAATTTTATTAATAGCTTAAGTAAGTTAGCCATTACATGTGGTTTTCTTATAAAAAATATAATCGTTTATAAATTTTATATAAAATCTGGCGAATGCGCCAGGATTCAAGGAAAATGATAATACGAGGGAGGATTGGAATAATTTTTAGATGGTTTTTAGTTTTTCGAGTATTCTATTTTAAATTCTTAAAAGATAGATATAACCATTCTATTTGCCTTTATTGCTTGTTTTAAACACTTTATAGTTTTTGAGATACCGGTCATTGAAGATATTATAATCATTATTTATTTTCAATTTTCTTTATTATGTTTGAACAACATTCCTCAGAGCAAGTAAAATAATATATTTTAATGAAAATGACGGTATAAGGGAAAACAGAGCAGAAATTAATTTTCATGATTTTTATGGTTTATATAAATTGTTTATTTTTTCTTTTGTGCAAGCTGAAAGCAAAGAATAAGATATTTGAGTTTAATAAAAATTATAAACAACAAAAGATATTTGATATATTTTATTGAGAAATTAATGAATTTCTAGTGATTTCTTTGAGAATTGTTTTCTTGTTATATAATTATTATATACTAAGATATGTATAGCGGGTGCGTCTCAAAAGTGGCTTACGTACCTATAACTTTTTTATTTTTTCAGATAAAACAACGATATTTGGTATGTTAGTATATGACATAAATTGGGATTGATTGACGTATTCAATTGTTTTCGGTCATACAACTTTTGATTTTTAAATGGCACCCTCGGTATTTTTTTACTTTATTCAATAGAAAATGACACACTGAATCGAATGACATAGCATATGTCAACTTTTGACATTTTGGCATATGGTTTATTTGAAATTGTAACATGCGGTTCACAACGACAATTTGACTCAAAATACCAAGTGTGTGGTATCAAATTATTCGTAAAAAAATGCTTTTTCCAAATATGCTAATGAGCCACCCTCATTCCATTTGAAAAAATTGAGATATGATTAAAAATACGATTCGGGCATCTTTTAACCGACCAGGACAAGACACTAAAAACATTAGAAGATCAAATCTATTTTTCCAAGGCTCCTTGATTAAAAATTAGTGTTTTTTAACACAGCCATGGCACTCTAGATTGAAATTTGAAATAGAATTTGTTTTTGAGTGACTATGTCAAAAATTGACATATGATATGTCATTCGATTCAGAATATCATTTTTTATCGAATAAAGTAAAAAAATACCGAGGGTGCCATTTAAAAACCAAAAGTTCTAGTAATTTCCGGTGAAACCGGAAGTGACTGAAAACAATTGAATACGTCAATCAACCCCAATTTATGTCATATACTAACATACCAAATCTCGTTGCTTTATCTGAAAAAATAAAATGTTATAGGGGTGAGCCACTTTTGAGACGCACCCAGTATATGACAAGATATAATAGATAATAAATTAATAAAACAGCAAGAAACTTCAACAACTTAATGGCTTTTATTTACACAATCTTTACATTAATATTAAACAAATTTGTACTCATTAATAACGGTTCTAATTTCTAATAAACATTAAATTGGTTATCTCAATATCTCACAAGTATGTTTAACATTTTATTCAGTTTAAAATTATTTGATATTATGTACAGTACATCTGCTGGATCTGTGTCTATGAAAGGAATGCGAACAAAAAACATTTAAATAAACAGCAATGTATTTTATACGTCGACTTGACGAGTACGCCACCGCAAATCGCTCCGCCCACTCATTTTATTGGCTACTTGCAAATTTGTCGAATTTTTATTGATGGGACGCGTCGTTTAATTTTTTACGAAAAACATCGAGAGAATATCGTTTCCCCTCTCACGGATACCCCGTAGCTACAGAACGGACAGACGTACTGTATATACACGGATCGGCAATAGTGCGTCGGGCATCAGTAGCTCCTAGAATAAAAAACTTGTGAATTTTGTTTTATGTACTAGGACGTATTTTAGGAAAATATTTTTACTTTTATAGGATAGGCTCAAAAAAGTGTGAGTGGATAGGGATGATTTTTTTTAAATGTTAATATTTTTAACAATAAAAATTATTAAAAATACAAAACAAAATTCTCAAGTTTTTGTATTCTAGGAGCTACAGATGTCCGACGCACTATTGCCGGATCCTGTAGAGCTATCAGTATTAGCCTTGTTTAAGGGTATTAGTATGAAATTATTTAAATAATAATTGATAAATAAATAAAAAGGTGTTCCTCCCTTTTATATGGATATTTTTGAGAGAATCAGCTATGAATATAGAGGGTGAGGTTTCTATGATGTTCTCTATGGATATCTCGGAAACTACTGGAGATAGTCGGTTAAATGGGGAAAGAATTGCAGTTTTGTGGGGTCATAAATATGCGCCTTTCAGATTTTTGAAAAAGTTAATGGCTTACTAGATATTTCAAAAAAACAAATTTTGGCTATTTTAAAAATTATTGTCCCTAATTCCACTATAATATATTTTAGACAAAAAGTTTTCGATAAAAGTAGTTGCAGATAATCACATCCCTAATGAGTTTGTGTTCTCCGATTTTTCCTAAGCCTGTCATTTTTGACATATGACACAAACATATGTTTTTCTAATTGAAAACCATATAGTTTGCACTTTTGCAGGCTATGTTTGCAGGCCATGGCTTCATAAAAGTGCCATTTTTTAAGCTTTTCAGCGATATAAGCTATATTTTCTTTTCAAGTTCAATCGTTCAATGTTCAACAAGTTCAATCGTCGTTGCTCTCAGAAATGTGAAACTGTCACATCCAAAGTAAATTAAAATAAACAAAAATTGTAAATATGAATTTTTCAAATGAAGAAAAACGTGTAGGATTATTGGTTCAACTTTTCTTGGCCATACAGTTTCGAGGTTACGTTGACCGGTGAACGTTATTACGTTTTTTTTATAGAGAACGGTTTTCAAAGACATGTTAGAAAAGTTAAATTTAGATACTCGCGCATTAATAGTCCATTAGTGGTTCCAACGTGACTATCATTATGACACACCACCTCTCCGCCACAATGAAAGAAATGTTAAAAATTATTTATATCATAATTATGTAGACTCAGGGACAGAAAGAGGTGGTTCAATTGCATGGGCCTCCTCGATCACCTGACCTATCCATAGTCGACCGGTCATTCTGTGAGAATATCTAGAAATTCAGTTATAAAAAGATGCATTTATGCAAAACAATGGCGGATTTTTTGAACATATTCTAAAAAGTATGTAGTAATATTATTTTTTAAGTTTTAGTTTGTGTAATGTAAATTGTAAAGATCCGTTTAATAATATATTTTGTCTTTCTATAAGTTATAAATCATAACAAAATAAGAATAACACTATGCCAACGAAGTGAAATTACTCAAGAAAGATAAGAATTGGCTATAACTCAGTAATTGTTTGAAAAAAACATATTATAGCTTATATCGCCGAAAAGCTTAAAATATGGCGCTTTTTATGAAGACATGGCCATATTGTCTTGGTTTCCATATCAAAAAACATATGTTTGTGCCATATGTCAAAAATGACAGGCTTTAGAAAAAATCAGAGAAAACAAACTCATTAGGGATGTGATTATCTACAACTTTTATCTGAAAACTTTTTGTCTAAAATAGATTGTACTGGAATTAGGGACAATTTTAAAATAGCCAAAATATATGTTTTTTCGAAATATCTAGTAAGCAATGAACTTTTTCAAAAATCTGAAAGGCGCATATTTATGACTCCACAAAACTGCAATTCTTTCCCCATTTAACAGATTCTCTATCTCCAGTAGTTTCCGAGATACCCATAGAGAACATCGTAGGGAATTCACCCTTTATAATTTAGGGTTCGTTTTTATTTTTATTGAAATGTACAGTGTGGCCAAAAAGCTTGAAAATAAAGTATAGTCTTTTATTGACAGACATATGTTATGACAGATAAGTATTACTCGCGGAAAATCGAACAAAAAACGGCGTCCAGTTGGCTTGGAAATGACGATCGATGCCATTCCCATATAATTTTACATATAAAATGACACCGAATCTAATATCATTTCACTGTCAATGTCCAAGTCAGTTGAACATAAACATTTTGAACTTATGGCAGACCGTGTGTGATCAATGTGTTTTATGATCATATATCGAAACATCGAAAAAACGCCTTCTAGATGGCTTAAAAATTACATTCACACTTTTACGTATAAAATGACAGCGATCTTCATTTCCAAGCCAGTTCTGACGCAGTTGTTTTATTCTATCGTACTTCATTCGTATATGATGACAGGTAAGTAATTTATTTTGAGAAATTACATTTGAATTTAGAATTTTTTAAAACGTTTTGATAGTACGGTATTTTATATTGCATTGATTGCTGTATAAGTTTGCAATAAACTGACAGTAATTATAAATGATGTAATTTTTATGTTTTTATTTATTAAAATTATCTAAACCTAATTACAGCAATGAATCCATGACTTAAGGAAGAAGGTTTCTTTTTATCTATGTTTTAAACAAATATGGTAAATTGATGATATTTAAATAGATGATACTAAAGTCCGTCCAACGAGTCGGGGAAGATTTCGACAAACGTCATCCAAAAAATTACAGATAATAAAATTTACCTGTAATAACTAAATGACAGAAACAAATGTCACTGTCATGTATCCTCTCGCTGGACAGATTTTAGTTTATGATGGTAATGCTTTTTTTAAACGAAACCAAGCTCCATTAATAATATAATTACAAGTCTTCCTCATCTGTCAAAGTGATAGCGCTTCCAAAAACGCCATCTTTGTCCATTTCTTTCGCTTTGGCCATCGAAAATCTCCTTTCTTGTGAAGATTCACCCAATTCAGACTGTAAACTATTTTGTTTTCTAAAAAATAATGAATTCTACATTATATATTATAAATTTACAGCTTTACTATGATTAATAAAAATAAATTGAAATAGAAAAGAATCATTGCATCTACTTTTCTAGAACGTTTTTTGGTTCTTTGGTTCCAATTGTGGAAAATTTTTAAAATCCGGTGTTTTAGGATATTTTTATTATTAAGCGCGGTCCAGACGTAACGACTTATCGTGCGATTTTTTTAAAGTTTGTTTTTAAGTTTAACTTGCCTTTTTTTATCTAAACACACAAGAAAACCCAACCACCAACAGTGATTCCTTTATTATTATTTGGCAGAACACACAAAAGGTTTAAAGACAAGGCGTTATATATAGATATATTAGTAAATAAAATCCACGTGACTTTACAATACGAAGTAAAATTACGGCAACGTAGAATTGCCACACTCAAAATATTATTTTTAGTGACGCCCCCTGTTGCTTGTATGTTGTTAAATGCGCATAAATGACGTCCTACTTTTAAGGCGCCTGCTTGCGCCTGTTTAACCTTAGAATCTAAAGTTTAAAGGAGTAAAAAGTAATAAAAGATTATTTAGTGCCCTTCCTTAATCGATAAAATAGTTTTTTTCATATTAAAGATATTTTTTGCTTACTTGAGTTAAACGTTACAAAAAGTCCAATAAGTTTTAATATAGAAAAACACCGGATTTCATATTTAAGGATAGAAAAAAATTACTCATGCAGAGAACACAGAACTTTGCAATTATCAATTTAAAAAAATGCCAATGTTCCAATGGAGAGAATATGTGATTTCCAACGAACTACTCTCTAAAAATGCCCGAGAAAATGATTTAGTTCTGAATTAAAAAGTTACGCAACAACTGCCATTCTTGTATATTCTCTCGGATTGGACCTACTATAATTTTAACTAAAGATAACGATATAAAGACAATATCAAACCTAAAATATGAAAATTATTTACGTTGGTTCTTTATTTCTACTTCCCGAACTGTCATCCGACTTTGAACTTTTAATTCTCACTATTTTCGGACCATTGGGCTTGTCGTCCCATGAACTAGGCCTTCCCCTAGGTGTCATATTCATATCTTTACCCCTGAAAACGAATTACTACTGTTATATTCGAATTGACATGAAGAATTCACATATCTAAAGGGAAATATAAATCCTTCGAAGACTGCCCCATAATATTGCTATTAAAATATCTTAAAAACATGGTAGGTTAATAGATATATAAGTAAAATACAAGTTAGGCATAATTTTTTAATAGAAAAAGTGTCATTTAAGCTTAGCTTTAGACTTATTTTATGATATTTTCGTTCGATTCTGATACTTACCTATTTCCTAACCGTTTATCCATTTCTTTTTGTATGAATTCGGGCATTTCTTTGTTTGTGTCCTAAAATAGGTTTTATACAATAAAATTGGTAATATTTTTAGAGAATAAATACCGTTGATTTCTTTTGATCTGAGTTCGACCAAAAATTGGTTGTGGGTGAGTTATCATCTATTGAATTTAGAGCATCTGCCGATAGGGTTTGTCTGCCAGATGATAATGGAGGACTAAAAATAATTAAAATATGTATTTTGAATCCAATACATTTTGTTTTGATATATAGACATCAAGATATTTTAAAATTATTATTATTATTGCCTGATTTTTTTTAAACTGATTTTGTAACCCATAGCAGTATAAAATTTTGTTCCCCCCATTTAATTAATACTCTTGCATGTGTCATTTACTACATGTTATACAATAAAATTATTTAATTTTGTTCTATGTATAGAATATGTTTTCTGTAAATAGCTGAACGCTTAAAATATTTTATAGAAAAGGTTTTAGATTTAAAATGACATATTTTTGTAAACCTACAAACATTCCAGATCAAAGTAAGTAAAAGATAAAAAGAGATAAAAATAGATAAAAGTTAGTAAATAGATCAAAATAAGTAAAAAAGTTTGTGCAAATTTATGTCATAAAAAATGCTTAGCTTCGGAGAATAAAACTGCGTAGAAGTTTCATTTTTATTTCGTTATTGTCTAAATAGTTTCTGAACTAATGCCAATATTTGAATGAAAATTGGCGTCTGCGAGTTTTTTGACATGATAAATTTGATTTTGAAATATATGACTCCTAAGTAGAGGTGTGTAGTTTGTAAACGAACTAGATCCAATGAACTATGCCGACTCAGGAATGAAAGAACTAGTTCCCTGTTTCTCAATGAACTAGTTCCTCAGGAGCTATTCCGGGATCGAGACTGTGACCGATATAATATAATAATATGCTACGGTGACGGATCGGCCAGCGCGATCGTAGCCTGATGCTAGGCAGGAGTGAGGAGTGCCAGCCGTATGTTATCGGATCCGGAGCTAGAGAAACTAAATAAATGACTAGTTTACGTACGGATCGGCCAGCGCGATCGTAGCCCGATGCTAGGCGGGAGGGGCAGTGGCGGATACAGAGGGGGGTGTCGGGGGCCCGGCCCCTCCTAAAATCTGTAAATTGTGTTAAATATCAGGCTTTTTGGTTAAAAATGGCGACCTAAAAAGCATATTCTACATTACTTTTTATTTTGTCCCCCCCTAAATTAAATTCCTGTATCCGCCCCTGGGGAGGGGAGAGTGCCAGCCGTATGTTACCTCTCCCGGACCGAAAGGACTGAGAGGAACTCGAGGAACTAATTAAAAGACTAGTTCACGGGAATCTATTCGATCGGCAGATCCGAGATATAATACAAGGCGACGATGATGGATTCGGCTTTGTCTATTGCCACAGCCGCAGCCGGCGTAAATACCACAAAAAATTGTGGATACTGTTTTTGATTTTTCGTTCGTTCTTTGCATATTTTATGGGAATATTTCACTTTAGGTCCCTAAAATTAAGAAATATCTTATATTATATATGTTACTGTAAGTGTCCGAAATGCGGTAAAACCTAGGATAAGTGCACTAAACGGAGGATTTACCAAAAGCATGCGGTAAAAGCCCGAAAACTATTTATTTTGCTTCCATTTCGGACTTTTACCGGACCAAAACAGTAAATCTTAGGATTTACCACACCGTATTGGTAAAAGTACCAATAAGCAAGTGGTAGTAAAAACCAACCTACCCCACCAAATAACAACCTAACCAATGCCTTAACACTCCCCAAGTAACCAGGCTAACCAATGCATTAATTTGTCGATATTGTTGCTATAAGAAAAAGTTTAAGTGTGATATGCCTTAATCAAATTTACCTTTATTTTAATCGTAGAATCTAAAAATATAATAATATACAGGGTGTCCCGTTTAAAAAAATACAACTATAATATTTTTAACTTATTTGGGACACTCTGTATATTGTAAAAATATTTTCAAATTGTAGCTCTAATAGTCCTTCAATGAACCCAAAAGTTACAATTTGTAAAAATCTAATCGTTTAGCTACAATACTCCGCGTCGTATGTGGTGAACAACCCTGTATACAAAACAAAGTAGATATTCTGAATTTTTAGTCAAAAACAAAAAGCTTGAAGTGAAGAAAAATGCAATTTTTTCGTAAAATTTTCGTATTATTTGCTCCAATTAATTTGTGATATAGTTTTTTAAACTTTGATTTGAGTTTCTTTTTATTTTTTTATCTGCAATAAAACTTACCTATATGTTTTTAACATAAGCAATTACACGTCTCGTTATATTTCCTACATTATAAAAATTATATAGATCTTACTGT